GGGGCGGGGATGTGGGGGGGGCCCAGTGTGGGCAGGGATGCTGAGGCGGGGATGTGAGGCGGGGATGAGGGGATGTGGGGAGGGGGATGGGGCAGGGGGATGTGGGCCAGGGGATGTGAGGCTGGGATGTGGGGGGGGGGATGTGGGGGAGGGGCCGGGAATGTGGGGCGAGGGGATGTGAGGCCAGGGGATGTGGGGCTAGAGGATGTGAGGCGAGGATGTGGGGCCCAGGGGATGTGAGGCCCAGGGGATGTGGGGCCCAGGGGGATGTGGGGCCCAGGGGGGATGTGGGGCGATGTGAGGCCGGGATGTGGGGCGGGGATGTGGGCAGGGATGTGGGGGCAGGAGGGATGTGGGGCCAGGAGGATGTGGGGCCCAGGGGATGTGGGGCAGATGTGGGGCCAGAGGATGTGGGCAGGGGATGTGGCAGGGTGTGGGCAGAGGATGTGGGGATGTGAGGGCGGGGATGTGGGCATGGGGCCCAGGATGTGAGGGCCCAGGGATGTGAGGGCAGAGGATGTGAGGGCAGGGGGATGGGGGAGGGATGTGAGAGGCAGAGGATGTGGGAGCAGGGGATGTGGGCCCAGAGGATGTGGGGCAGAGGGAGGGATGATGTGGGGCGGGGATGTGGGGCAGGGGATGTGGGGCGGGGATGTGGGGCCCAGGGGGCTGGGGGATGTGGGGCGCATGTGAGGAGGGGATGTGAGGCCCAGGGGATGTGGGAGGCGGGGGGTGTGAGGCCAGAGGGGTGTGGGGCATGTGAGGTGGGATGTGGCAGAGGATGTGAGGCCATGTGAGGGCAGGTGGGGCGGAGGAGGGGTGGGGTGAGGGGGATGTGAGGCAGGGGATGTGGGGCCCGGGGGATGTGGGGCCAGGGGATGTGGGGGCAGAGGGCGGATGTGAGGCTAGGGGATGTGGGCCAGAGGGTGTGGGGAGGCAGGGGATGTGGAGGGGCCAGGGATGTGCCCCAGGGGATGTGAGGGCAGGGAGATGTGGGGCCGGATGTGAGGCCCAGGGGTGCCTGTGCTGGGGCCAGATTAGCCCCACGGATGTGAGGGCAGGCCTGTGGGGCCCAGGGGGATGTGGGCTCACCCCAGGGGATGTGAGGCCGCCAGGGGATGCGGGGCGGGGTGTGGGGCATGTGTGGGGCAGGGGTGTGGGGCAGGGGATGTGGGAGCTCTGGAGGCGGGGATGTGAGGCTGTGATTTACAACTGGTCAGTTCCTGGTGTGTGGGCCAACCACCACACGGACTGCGGCCTCCCACTCACCCAGGAAGCCGCCCACCACGCCAATTTCCTCTCTACCTCAACCCCGCTCAATATTTCTCATGGCTCAATCAGCTGCCTTCCTCAGTCTCCGTACAGTGAGCTCTGCAGAGTATTACAGAGCTGGAATAGAGTAAGTAGCCGTCACATCGTTATTTGATCAGCTGTAGAGTTAATTGAGTGACTATCATAACAGATGAAATAATGCTGCGACCACACACAAAGTAACAGATTATAACCACCCAGGTGCACCATTACCGAGGGGAGGGGCACTATTATCGCCGTACCTCTGACCCCCATGATTTCTAACAAGTCTACACTACCTGGGTAGTCCTGAGGTGCATGCCGAGTTTCAACAAGATCGAGTAAAAGCTGGAGATGAGTTTGAGCAGTAACTAAGATGTCTGTGGCACAAACGTTGACCATGTAGCCGGACACTGTTGCTATCAAGAGGATGATAAACCGGATTAAGATCAAACAAAAGCTGTAGGAGCTCACGGAAAAAAAAAGTTATTTTATATTTACAATTTCACATAAAACATAGAGTAACATTAGAATAATATATGACTTACCTGAATATTGTATAACTCTCACCAACTTCTAATTTATTTTCTGTTTAATATTCTTAAAAGCAAAACGTGAATCCCCAGTTCATTACATATTCAGAAGTGCAGTGACATTTCACTTATTGAACTTAGCCAGACTCCCATCATGGCACACCGAGATCCATTATTCCGCCTCGAAAATTATTCATGGCATTTCGATTAAATATTTGGCACTTCAGCCACCCACCCTCACCCCTGCATCTCAACCCCTCCTCCTCTCAACCCTTCACTCCATTGTGATCCCTCCTTGACCTCTAACCATTTCTACCTCTCTCCCTTCTCTTCTCTCACTTTTCCTTCCACTTCCTTCACTTTCTTTATTACTCTACTAGCTTTATCATCCTTTCCTCTCCTTACTCTACCTTTTATTCTTCTACCTTCATCTTCCCTCATTTCAACTTCATATCTGTTATTCTTGCTTCACCTGCCTCCACACTCCCTATTCTTCCCTCACACCCCCTACTATTCCCTCACACTCCCTTCCCTTCTTAATTTCCCCTCACACTTCCCCGTCTCTCGCCCCTCCTCTTCCACTTTCCCCCTCTCACCATTTTTCCTTTCTCGTTTCTCACACTTCTCTCTTCTTCCGTTCATCGCACATCCACCTCTTCCCATCAACACATTTCTACTCACTCCCTTTTCCAATAAATTTAATACTATAACTGATGCAAAAAATCTTAAGTCATGGGTCTTGGAAGAAAACATTATTTAAGTACAGTATTAAGTCATGGGCCCTGGAATATAACATTTTAGTACCTCATAAACCCATGGATCACTTGGAGACAATCCGATGATCTTAGCTGGTTTATCTGTCCATAATGGCAAATCATAACTATTTTACTTGGTGATTCGTCAAACTCTTCGTCTCCTACCTGGCCATTAACCCCTTGAGTATGATAATTCCCCTTGCGTACGATATTTTAATCATTCGAGTACGTTAAATTAACCCCATTAGTATGATTACAACCTTGAGTACGGTGTCTTAACCCTCTGAATAAGATATCTGGAGTACGATGAATTAACCCCTTGAGTACAATGAATTAATCCCTTGAGTAAAATGAATTAACCCCTTGAGTACAATGAATTAACCCATTTGAGTAAGATGAATCGAGTATAATCATTTGATCCCTTGAGTACGATGATTTTAACCCTCATCGTACTCAAGTGTTCAGGTATTGACAGCATTTTAACACTGTGGTCGCTCAAGAGTGAGATGCCCAGGATGTGTAAAACTGTACTCCACGTCTTTTCAATTACCTTTTCCATAATCCCATCTCTTCTTCCCTGTCTTACGTCACTTAGAATTTTATCCGGTTCTTTTTTGTATTTTTTTGTTTCTTATATACACTTTTACCTCTCTCTCTCTCTCTCTCTCTCTCTCTCTCTCTCTCTCTCTCTCTCTCTCTCTCTCTCTCTCTCTCTCTCTCTCTCTCTCTCTCTCTCTCTCTCTCTCTCTCTCTCTCTCTCTCTCTCTCTCTCTCTCTCTCTCTCTCTCTCTCTCTCTCTCTCTCTCTCTCTCTCTCTCTCTCTCTCTCTCTCTCTCTCTCTCTCTCTCTCTCTCTACCTTTGTTATAAATTCTGAGTTAGAGAGAAGCTGAAACCGGGTAACAAGTCTCCCACACGGATAGTATCAACCTGCCCTTGAGCTAGTCCCTGATCCTCTCCTATCCTCACCATCTGCCACCTGTCAGCCTGCCTGTACCCCCTCACCATCTGCCACCTGTGCCACCTGCCTGCCTGTACCCTCCTCACCATCTGCCACCTGTCCAGCCTGCCTGTACCCTCTCCATCATCTGCCATCTGCCTGCCAGCCTGTACCCTCCTCCATCATCTGCCACCTCCCTGCCAGCCTGTACCCTCTCCATCATCTGTCACCTGCCTGCCAGCCTGTACCCTCTCCATCATCTGCCACCTCCCTGCCAGCCTGTACCCTCTCCATCATCTGCCACCTCCCTGCCAGCCTGTACCCTCTCCATCATCTGCCACGTGTCTGCCTGCCACCTACCTGTACCTTCCTCAGTCCTCACCATGTGCTACCTGTCAGCCTGTCTGTACCCTTTCCATCATCTGCCATCTGCCTGTCAGCCTGTACCCTCCCACCATCCAGTCTGTAACCCAGCCGTCTATCTATAAGCCTGTCCACTCTCTTCACCTGTCCGCTCCCAACCCGTCCACGTCAACTCTCCACCCCCTCAACCACGCCGCCAAGTCTGTTCTATCCAAACAAGCCGTTTAGTATAGTCCATCCAATTACGTTCTTATTTTTCTATGCCACTGTCCTCTCAACTACTTTACCCAACCACGTCCTCTTGAGTTAGTTTATCCAACCACGTCCTCTTGAGCTAACAACCACATCTTATTAGTCTAAAAACTACGTCCTTTTAAGCTAACAAGCCACATCTTACCACGTCTATCACTCAGCCTATTCGACCTAGACCTCTCGCTTAACTACCCAATTACTTCCTCTTAACAATCTGATCAACCACACCGTCTATAATTAATCAGTCTATCCAACACACTCTGGCATCAGTCTTCCCCCCACAGCAAGTACCGGGTAGTTGCCACTGAATTACTAATATTTATTCCAATCCGAGTAATCCATTCCCAGCTGGGCTCGACATTGACTGAACTTGACGTTCATCTTGAAAACACACACACACTCTCTCTCTCTCTCTCTTGTCTAACCTTGGTGGTGTTCCTGCAGTGGACTGAAGACTGACTCAGCCCGAGGTCATTTTATCTGAATTACTCCAGCAAAACAGCCGTATGCTTATTATTGTGATTTAGGTCAATATATTTGAAAGTTCGCCTCGTATAAATTCATCGTTGCTATTAACATAAATCTGTTGTAGTTAAGTAAAACAGAAACGGTACCTGTGTTGTAACCTTCCTCCTATGATCCATCTTTAACTCACTCGAAATCTCATCTACTCAGACTTTCAGGGTAAACATTCTATTGTGTAGCTACGATAGGTCTTGTTGCTTAAGGTTTCGGATCACTCGACTCAATGGGTGATTCGCAACAAGGCTTGGTATGTTTAAAAGTAATATATTACAAAGGTATGCACGCTTATATTAACCCCTCGCTATGCCACACTTCTGATTCGGATTTGACCACTATGACGCTCTTGTTCTCCTTCCACAGAACGCGCAGGACTTCATTGGGTTCGCGACACTACCAGAGCAGGTGCACAGGAAGAGTGTAAAGCGGGGGTTCGACTTCACTCTCATGGTGGTAGGCGAGTCTGGTCTGGGAAAGTCCACACTCATCAACAGCCTCTTCCTCACCGACCTCTACAAGGAAAGAAAAATACCCACGGGCGAGTGTGAGTCTCTCTCTTATGTCTTTAGTTTCATTGATGAGTTTCCCCTTGAGCGAGTACAGTGTTTACAAAATTAATTGCGAATACAGAAGCCCAGTACCATAAAACTTGTTGAATATTGTTTGTTACGATATTAGTTTATGATTATATTCAATTAGGGTTGGGTTGGGTTGGGTTGGGTTGGGTTGGGTGTTTATTCATCAAGTGAAATAAGCCGGGTTGCCTAATCTTTAGGTGATGCGAAGTTGTTAATATACAACATGGTTAAGCCACAATAACTTAAAATAACAATCACTATAACTTGCAAACTGAGAATCGTGTTGTAATTTGTTATATGATAGCACAAAAATCATCAAGACCTTTTAAAACTGCAATGCAAGAGCTATTGTATCTTAAATAGGACAAAAATTCCAACACTTTGAAGCAGAATAAAAATTATAGAACTGACGCAAAACAAAAATCACAAGATATTACACTCTTTTTCCGTAGTTGTTCAGGATACGAGTAAGGATTGCCTTGTATAAAATATGTAAACAGTCATTTATACTATATTTTGCTGCTTCCCTTATTTTTGTTATCAACTTACTCCTTTATTTTTATCCTGGAACCATTCTAGTCTCTTTCTCACTCCCTGGATTATATTTCTTCTCTCGTTTTAACCATAATATTGCTTTTATGACTCACTCTCTCTCTCTCTCTCTCTCTCTCTCTCTCTCTCTCTCTCTCTCTCTCTCTCTCTCTCTCTCTCTCTCTCTCTCTCTCTCTCTCTCTCTCTCTCTCTCTCTCTCTCTCTCTCTCTCTCTCTCTCTCTCTCTCTCTCTCTCTCTCTCTCTCTCTCTCTCTCTCATCCCCGTCGTCCACCTCTACTCCACCACTTCACTCGCTCTTAATCACCTTTCTGCCACTAAACTTCCTGTAGCAAACGCTCTCCCCCACCAACATCCCCTTCTCTCATCTCTCCTCTGGCCCAAAATCCTCAGCCTCCTCTTTTCAGGACTAAACTTCACTCTAAATGTATTCCCATGTCTATCATTTAAACATTATCTCCCTACACTACCAAAGACTGTCTACTAGACGGGGAAGCTCTCCTGTACTCATACTGTCCCCTAACTAAGGATGTATTGTACTCACCTGACCCCCAGCTAAGGACGTAGTGTCCTTATACTGTCCCTCAACTCAGGACTCTTGTACTCACACTGACCCCCAACTAAGGACGTCTGTACTCACACTGTCCAACTAAGGACGTCTTGTACTCACACTGTCCCCCCCAACTGAGGACGTCTTTTACTCTCACTGTCCCCAACTAAGGATGTCTTGTACTCCTACTGTCCCCCAACTGAGGACGTCTTTTACTCTCACTGTCCCCCAACTAAGGACGTCGTGTACTCACACTGCCCCCCCAACTAAGGACGTGTTGTACTCTTACTGTCCCCTAACTCAGGACGTCTTGTACTCACACTGTTCCCCAACTAAGGACGTCGTGTACTCACACTGTTCCCCAACTAAGGACGTCTTGTACTCACACTCGGCCGCTCCCCCACAGCCCTAGTGGAGAAGACCGTGTCCATAGAAAAGAAGACTATTGAGATAGAGGAGCGAGGCGTGAAGCTGCGTCTCACAGTCGTCGATACTCCAGGTAACTTGATTCCATGTCAGGTAACTACTGTAGTTCTAGTCAGGTAACTATTTCTCTGTCAGGTAATTACTTCTAAGTCAGGTAACTATTTCTGTATCAGGTAACCACTTCTAATTGCACTTGAAATCTTGAATTATTACGAGAAAAAAAACTAGTGTAAAGAGACACCTTCTCAACTTTAATTACATTTCAAACTTTCTTTTTCTTTTACGGCAACGAGAATTAAATGTAAAGTTCAATTACGTTTTCCTGAGTATAATTCAATTATAATGGAACAAAGGAGAGCATGGGCATAAAATTATCACCTTGTCTTTCTAATTCTAATCGTAACCCTTTCACAGCGGGAGATTACCCTAAGCTGAATAAAATCGTCTTGCGGTAGCCAGAATAAAATGGCAAGTGCGTGACACGCGGTGAAAGGTTTAAGCAATACATTATTACTGTAATAGAGAAATATAGTAATACCCAAAACAACATTCGCTGCTTGACTAGGCATGTAATTTTATTTTAGAAGTATGTTTTAACTTCAAGTTTGAGGAAAAATGGGATTTAAGACGGTTATTTTTCACACCTACGCCACTGAATTATTTCTCAATTCAAACAGATGGGAACCACTAATCATTGCCGTCTGAACCTAAACTTGAACATTCTGAAACACACATAACTCAGTGGTGCATTTCAACTAAATCAGACGAGACAGTTCCGTGATGGTCCGTTTTAATAATTAATTAGCAAGCTAAGATGAATGGTGGAGGCTGTCTCGTAATAAGATTTTTTTTTCTCATAAATCCTGACCGTTCTGGGCTCAAGCTTGCAGATAATACTTTTTTTTTTAATATTTATACAATTTATTCGATACATGCGTAGTGTACCGCAATAGCTACTTGGTATCTCATGCATTTCAAGACAAAAATTGTTTTAAGGAAAATGGGCATCAATAATATCAGTCATTTTAATTCAAACGCTGCAATTATAAATAAAGTATCAACTATGTTATTCTAATTCAAACGCTGTGTTAAGAAATATGATATTAACTTAGTCATTCTCATTAAAACGTTGTAATAAGAAAGAGAAACAGGAGTAACCGGATCATCATCTACCACATCCTACTCAGCTCGACTCGCATCCTCTTCCTGTGTAGACGTTCCAGGGTTCTCGTTCACATCCTCGCCTTAAATGTTGTAATCGGTAAATTACTTGTGTATGCATCTACTTACAGATTTTTTTTAAATCTGACTAATATCATGGGCATTTTGAGGCCATTTTGAAGCCATGCGCACTTGATATTAAGAGATATTCTTTAGTCAATAGTAAATACTTTTTTCTTTACAAAAATGCCTGAGAACAATACTGCATTAAAGTAAAAGTATTAGAATTTTCTGGTGAAAAGGTGGTCCGGACCCCCAGGAACCCCCCCCCCTCCCCCCCACGGATCCGTCCTTGATTTGGGACCAAGTTTTCGCCTTCTCTAATATTGTCGGTCATTATTACATTACACACATCTATCATAAATTCCATTAAAGTACACCATTAAGTGGGAAAAAAAGGCAGAATTCTACTGCTCTTTTAGATATGGAAGAATATTTTATCCCATAAGCAGTACTTATATAGATGCATATTAATTGTGTGATTAATTGGAAAACACTGTTTATTTATCTATTTATATGTACTGTATCTCTTATCTTTACTCCTATTCCGCTTTTGTTAGGGATGGATTAGGGGTGCACAAAATACTCATAGAAAATGGAAATTGTGAATACTACGACACAAGTGAGGAAAGAAGAAACGTCTAAAATCTTCAAGGCATCAAATATTTACACGTGTTTACTTATATCCTTCAGTTGTATATGGAACAAACTCAGGGAATCTTAACATCCACATTACTTCATAGCAATGCATTATAAAAACTAGGTTAAGTACTTAAGTTTAGAGACTTGTTCATGTTACATCTAATCACGTACAAAACGATTCCACTGGCCACAGACTCTTTGTTCTTGTATTATATAACGTGACTTCAAGACCTCACGAAATAGAATTAAGAGTAAGGTCAGCAAAAATTTATGACTCGAAACCTTTTATGGCAATATGATAGAAACTCCTTATACGAAGTTTTTTGCGCTACCGAGTATTTTTGTGAAGTAACCTTGAAAGCAAAATCAAAGGTCAAATTGAATTGTGCAAGATCAGAAGTGAGAAGGCTAAGAAATAGCAAAATGGGGCGGTATATGTATTGTGTGTTTCAAGCAGTCTGGCCACAGCATTGAAGAAATATTATTGGGAAAAAAATGCCAAATGCAGGAAAATGCTTCTCCAACAGGCACAATCAATACAATACACTGCCTGCGTGGTAACAGAGCTCGTGAGTTCTAGTTATCAAATTACTTGGATGTGCAACTGACACGATATATTCTGAAAATAATGGCCAACTCCCCCACCCGCCCGCCCACAAAAAAATAAGGTCAAGGACACACTACTGCAAACGTCAATCATTCATCATAATCGTAGGCTACAATACTATACTTAGTTTATTTTGTGATACTCCAAGTGCCATATTTTTGCGTCACTATTTACAATATTCACACAACAAAAGAACTACAAATGATATATAATACGGTCGTTTTATGAACCACTGCATATCTGAGGTGAAGTTGTCTTAATTTGATTATCATTTAAGTAAGAGGAACTTGTACTCGAGTGTCTTTTATCCCAACAGGAAACATTATTAAAGACATGGAATGGAAAGGGTTTTCCATTGATGTTCACTGAAGCGCGAAAGTAATTCATTGTGACCTGAATGTGGCAGCCCCACTCTTCACCCTAAGAGGCACCACCACACACACTTGGGAGATGTTACGTGAAATGGATTGGAAGACAAGGAGCGAGGACGAAAATGTTAACAGATGGGCAGACAGACTGGCCACACCATACCATATTACAGCTCGCCCCAAGCCGAGCGCCTATAATGAAGCAGTCGACTGTAGATATGGACCTGTACCTTACATTTACAAATACTAAGTGTCAGAAAACTACTCCTGCGATTCTTTTAATCGTTCCTTAATTAGTGAGTAAAAACCAACAACAGAACGTCCTAACAAATTTGTTCAGTTTACTAGGTGTCATAACTTGACTTAACATTGTGACATACATGAATATTATGCTTCCTGTGCTAGGTAGCCGAGATACACATAAGTGTTCTGTAAGCATTGTGTGGACACCAATGAATGGACGCATATACGGATGAACCTATATGTGTAACTACTTATATAAGGACAGATATGGGAAAATTGATATGCCCCAAGTGAAAATTAAAGGAGCATGAAATTGATATCCCAATATCAACATCAATGTAATCAAAGTTTTCCCAAAACAAGCAGTACACATAATGCAAGGGTAAACTTTTGCTATCCTTGGATCAAATTGGCTTAAGTGAAGTAAAATTATACAGGGATGAGGAGCAGGGCGAGGTAGTGTGGGTAGGCTGGTGGTGTCATCAGCTACTGTCGTCACACCACTTACGTCGCCAGCATGAAGCAAATTCTACACTGATTATATTATTGATATTCTTGATGACGAAGGGGAGAGAGAGAGAGAGAGAGAGAGAGAGACAGGCATGTGTGACTAAGTATACGTATGTATGACTGTGTATGACTGTGTGTGTGTGTTAAAAGGATGTGTACTCTTTAGTGTTTGGAGGTACTCAGGTGTGTGTTTGAACCTGAGTCATTCCTTCCCCCCGTCCACCGCAATTACCCCTACCCCGTACAGCCGCACACCTTACTTACCCTCTCTCTGTACACCTCAGCTACCCTCCCTCTTTACACCTCAGCTACCCTCCCCTACACCTGTTACCCCTCCTCTGTACACCTGGTTTACACCCTCCCCCAATACACCCTTGTTACCCCTCCTACCCCCTGTATATCTGTCTTCCCACTACCTCCCCTAACAGGTGAGTGAGTATCCCGTGTGTTACAGGGTTCGGGGACGCTGTCAACTGCGAGGAAGGGTGGAAGTCGGTGGAGCGCTACGTGGACGAGCAGTTCAACAAGTTCTTCCAGGACGAGTCTGGCCTCAACCGCAAGAATATACAAGACCACAGAGTTCACTGCTGCCTCTACTTCGTCCCTCCCTACGGCCACGGGTGAGAGAGAGGTGGCAGGGAGGGTGAAGGAGATGTTGGGAGGATGGAGGGTATGCTGATTGAAGGAGTGTTGCAAGGGTGGGAAGAATGTTGCGATGAGGGAGTGTTGCAAGGGTGGGAAGAATGTTGCGATGAGGGAGGGAGTGTTGCGAGGGTGGGGAGAATGTTGCGATGAGGGAGGGAGTGTTGCAAGGGTGGGAAGAATGTTGCGATGAGGGAGGGAGTGTTACAAGGGTGGGGAGAATGTTGGGAGGGTGGCGGAAAATATAAAGGACGAAGTGTGACAGCGAAGGGTGTTGGTGGGTGAAGGATGTGCTGGTGGGTGAAATTGGTGGGTGATGGGGTTGGTGGACGAGGGGGTGGTGATGGGTAAGGAAGGTGTTGGTGGATGAGGGGTGTTGATGGATAAGGGGGTGTTGGTGGGTGATGAGGGTGATAGTGGGTGATGGGGGTATTGGTGGGTGGTGGAGGGAAGGGGTGTTGGTGGGTGAAGAAGGGGTGTTGGTTGGGAAGGGGGTGTTGGTTGGGAAGGGGGTGTTGGTGGATGGATGACGGATGGTGTTGATATATGGGTGGGTAAGTTAAGATGGATTTCAATGGGTGAGTTAGGATGGATGTACTGTATAAGTGACCGAGTTAGGATGGAGGCATATGTGAGTGAGTTAGGATGGATGTACTGTATAAGTGACCGAGTTAGGATGGAGGCATATGTGAGTGAGTTAGGATGGATGTACTGTATAAGTGACCGAGTTAGGATGGAGGCATATGTGAGTGAGTTAGGATGGATGTACTGTATAAGTGACCGAGTTAGGATGGAGGCATATGTGAGTGAGTTAGGATGGATGTACTGTATAAGTGACCGAGTTAGGATGGAGGCATATGTGAGTGAGTTAGGATGGATGTACTGTATAAGTGACCGAGTTAGGATGGAGGCATATGTGAGTGAGTTAGGATGCTGTAGATACAAATGAGTGATACTAAGTTTGTGAATATACTGTCAATGATTCAATTGAGTCTTGGTATGTCAAGACGTTGCTGACAATACTCTGAGCTTACCACACCAAGCTCTGACAGGTTTATTATAGAGGCTCTGACAGGTTTGCCACACCAAGCTCTGACAGATTTACCACACCAAGCTCTGACAGATTTACCACACCAAGCTCTGACAGATTTAATACACCAGGCCCTGACAGATTACCCGGTAACCACACCAAACTCTGACAGATTTATTTCACCAGCCCCTGACAGATTTACAGCTCCAGGTAACATACTTATTTCACCAAACATTAACATATTTATTACTTCCAGGTTGAGGCAGATGGATGTAGAGTTCATGAGACGACTCCATAGGAAGGTGAACATCGTGCCTGTTATAGCCAAGTCTGACACACTTACTAAACCTGAGATCAACAAGCTCAAAACTAACATTCTCAATGACATCGAAAACAACAAAATCAAGGTTTGTCTGTAATATTAGAATTTTTGTGTTAATTTTCAAGATTAAGTTTCCTGGAAGATAATCTAATAAACACCAATTTTAATAAAAATAAAGATGTGTTAAATTGCATATCAAATAAAAGTGGAGCCCTCAGAATTAAAACAAGACACACAATTTTGACAGTACAGTGCAGGTATCCCCCTATTTACAATGGGGTTACCTTCCTGAAAAACCCATTGCAGATCGAAATATCATAAATCGGGATCATTATAACACGGGGTTCAATGGGATATGTTTCCTAGCCAGTCGGACACATACATGTATCACCGAGAAAAATTCCAACACTTATAATACTGTATACCTAAAACAATTAAACACTCGTCACATCATTAAGAACAAGCCTGGTCATCATCACATATCCCCTTCGAGGCTAAGGGGACTCTTTTAGGTGGAGTGGAGATGTCACTCTAACTTCCACACAGCCTCTGGGGAGTCTCATGCTTCTTCACAATGTCAAGCTTCACCTCAGAGACACTATTTCCTTGGGTGCCTTGGCCTTCCCAGACACTTTCAAAAGTTACACTGTTCACTTCACAAAAACAGAGTGAACAATGATAATATTATTGCGGTCGACACTGCTCACTCACATCTGTAGTGTCTTACATGATTTATACCATCCTGTCCCTTAACAAATAAAATCTTGTATTTTTCAAGAAATTTCTCAAGACCTGGAACACTGTTACATATTCTAACACTAAATATCTCCTTCCAGTCCATCTCAAGCTCACACAACCAGTTCTTACCTAACAAAGTTGGTCTATTCACATAACTAGCTATAATTAATGGCAACTTCAAATTCTGATTTTTGTACGTTACCCCACACTCCAATTTACCTTCTGTGTTCAAACTCTCTCTAGTATAGGTTCTCAACTTGACACCTGAGTCTTCTAAAGGCACATGTGCAAATAGCTTCTCATACGTATCTCTACTCATTATAGAGAAATTAGCTGCAGTATCCACTTCCATGGTTACAGGTGTGTCATTAATGCACAAGTCCACATTATACCTGTTTAACTTTCTCTTCATGACTGGTGTAAATAGTAAACACATGGGCACTCTCATCATTATCAGGTTTAAAATTACTATCACTCATGAATACTGTTTTTCATTTCCTTCTCATCACCTTCAACGACATATACTCTACCTTTATCACGTCTGCCAGGGGCTGTAATTTCTTTCTCACAGGCAGGAGCAATATGTCCAATACGCTGACAATTGTAACATTTTGAATTTTTTAACTTACACTGAAAGCTCATGTTTCCCTAGGCATCTCTTTACATTTTAAATCAGCATGTGTTCCTTGTTTTGTGGCATAATTCTTCCTTTTAGCTACAGTTACTTTACACACTGAGCCACTACTGCCAACTGTTTCACCACCGGTATTGGGAACAAAGTCTCTGGTGTTTTTCTCTGCTAATTCCATGCTTGTAGCTACTGTATCTGACATGCTTTTTCAAAAGTTAAGTTAGTGGTGTTCATTAACTTATTCTGTATTTTGTCATAATTCAGACCTATCTCAAACCTGTCTCTTAGAGCTCGGTTCAAGAACTGTCCAAAGTTACAGTGAATGGATAACTTCTTCAAAGCTACTATATAATCATTTATTGATTGATCTTTCCCTCTATCTCTTGTGCCAAATTTGTAACTTTCAGCGATCTCAAGTAAAGCAGGATCAAAATGTTGCTTCAGAATCTTGGTAATCTGAATCAGTGAGAAGTCTTTGGGTTTGTCTGGAGCAAGCAGATTGACCAGAGTAGAATAAACATTAGCTCCTACCTCTGTCAAAAAGATTGCTTTCCTTTTCTCTTCAAGGGCCTTCTTCTCCTGAGCATCACCACCGTCATCCATTAATTCATTTGCCAGGAAGACGAAGTCCATCCTCTCACAATATGATGTGAAGTTCTCCTTGTCTGCATCATACTCCCCCACTCCTCCGATGTATCCACTGACGCTAGCCATGGTTGCTCTCTTCACTTAAATTCTCCAGGTTCAGAGTAGCCTTCCTTTCAGTGGTCGCTATCCTCTCTTCAAGGACTTCAACACTTTGTGAATCCCATCCTCGTTGCCAGTGTAGTATCTTACACGATTTAATGGGCGAAAGAGAAGCCACCTGCTGACTCGTGCTCAAGTGGTATATTGTTGTGATCGGACAACGTTTAACACATTCTTGAATACTTAGGCCAAAACACTTTGGTAAGAAGTAACATAATATATAATACGTATACTGTATATATAATCAATAAAGGCAGCATATAAACATACACATATATAACAACATCCACAACAGAGGCAAAGTACTTTACAGTCATAAAACCAGCAAAAATCACTTCAGTCACCAAAATTGAATACAACGTAAATGTCAGTGATGTACAGATCCCGTAGTTACTTCATTCCTGAGCAGTTGCTTGAAGTTTATAAGGGATTCATTCGCCCTAACTTTGAGTAATGCTCTCATATCTGGGGTGGCTCCTCTTCTGTCCAATGTTGCTTCACACACTCTCTTTTACAGGTACTTTAACAGGAAATGTTCGGTGGATTTGGCATCTTGTGTACCGCCAACAAGGCTGTGGGCTCGTAACACTCGTCTTGCCTACTGTGTAACAGTTTCTCTGTGGCTGTTGGTCACACTAGAATAACCAGTTACAATACATCCTTCTTTCCACACACAGCCAAACTGTGGACTGCTCTGCCTTCTTCTGCATTGACAATCTTACAATCTGTCCTACTTTAAAAAGCTGGTCTTCCGGCATCTTCATGGTGTAGATTAATATGGTCTTTTTCTTTTCTATTTCTAATTTCTTTTTACTCTTATATTTTCGCCCCCTAGGCCCCATTGTGGGTCAATGACCTGTGCCCGGGTGAACTCTACCCCGTTAAAAAAAAAAAAAAAAAAAACCCACCGATACTAACCAATAATGGTCGAGTCACACGATCACAGCCATGTGCGATTACCATGTGACAAAGCTTGGTACGTACAGTACTGTAACGCACTGGGTCGCTGTTTGGCGGTATGTGGGTAAACCTGCAGCTGGCAGATGAACTGAGAGAAGTAATCACGTTGGCTGGACAAAGACGATCGTTCATGATGATTTTTTTTACATCGTAAATAGGGGGGTGGTCTTAATACATCACCATTGTTAAAGTGAAATATTGTAGATAGGGAGATCATAAATAGGGAAGACCAGTACAGTACAGTACAGTACACACTATAACAAACCAAGGAAATGGGAGGCTTTGATACGCATTGATAAAAGTATGAAAGTAAATCACTCTAATATGTCAAATTATAACTAAAAAATTGGAAAATAAAAACAAAAAGAAGTGAGGCTGTCAGACATATGAAGCAGATACAGTACCTACTCTGATAGGCCTAGTTTTTATGCATATGATCTCATGTAAAAAGAAAAATGGAGAAATAAATTATTCATACTGTACACACATCTGCATCTAAAAATCATATAGATTATAAAAACCTTTATACACATACTGCATTGTACATATACTGTACAGTACTGTACAGTATTTGCATTGCCATAGGAAGTATCATTGCTAGGGGAAGTATCATTGCTAGGGGAAGCATCAATGCCAAGCATGCAGCATTATGGGAATCTGCCCCATTATAGTACAGCCCACACCTCGGAAGACATTGGTCAGCCAAATGCTCATACTTGGAACTGGCGGATGCCAGCTTAAGGTTGATGAAGCCACAAGTTCAGAAAATTGTCAGGACAAACTTTATGGAGTGAAAGCTGTGAACTCTTGAAACAATCTATAAGAAAAGTTGTGAACCCTTGGAACAATCTACCAGTGTGTTGTGATGGCATCGAGTGTGAGCTCATATGCTAAAACAGACTTGACCAACACTGGTACAGATACCTTCTGGAGCCAGTACATGCCCAATATTTGCCAAAAATGTATGACAGAGATGTGACCAATTGTCCAAGCAGCTAACAAGCCGATCAGTGGCAAAAAGGATAAAGTAAAGTAGACTGGGGTAGGTGTTTGCAAATCCTCATAGGAAGAGAATGAAGCTCTCCTTGATGGAGAGCCACATTTTGAAACCTCCTCATTGGAAGCCGAGACAGACTCATGCATCATTTTCAAAAGAATATTCAAAGTTAGATTATAGAGTAGAGAACAAAGCTAAGAAAAATTTTTCTTGGAGTTTTGCTACAAACAGAACTAACCCAAGCTTCAAGAAGCAGGGGAATGGGGAGATTTAGTTGGGACTGCCATCTTTGAGGTAGGCATCTAGAAATATCCCTCCCATCTTCTCATGACAGACCTGGCCACTTGCATACACCCATCCAAATTACATTAAACAGTACAGTACTGTACAGTACCTAGATTTATGCCACAGAGGTTTGTTTTCGAATTTTCCACCCTGAGAGGATTCACCATTTTGAGTTTGAAAAGGCTGACGGGATAGTGATACAAGCTGAAGGGTGAAGACAAAGGAAAACCAGAGGGAACTTTATAGTAGCACATGTATAGTTAGAGAAATGTTGGGGTTTGTTAAAGTACCTTATGGGATGCAGTTTGGGAGGTCAGTAATCACTGCTGTGCAATCCTGCTATTCCAAGTAAGATGTCCCTTTGTAGTATAACACTCATTATAATCAAACTCCTCTTTGCAGATTTATCAGTTCCCTGAATGTGATTCAGATGAAGATGAGGACTTCAAACAACAAGATCGAGAGCTTAAGGCATCTATTCCTTTTGCTGTAATTGGGTCCAACTGTGTAATTGAAGTAGCAGGAAAGAAGATGCGGGGGCGACAGTATCCATGGGGTATTGTAGAAGGTAGCTATATGACAGAATATCCCTGAAGATGACTTAATGGGTAAAACTATTTTAATGTCTTCTTCAGAGGACTTAAATCTATGTTTTTATAATTATGTCTCAAATAATAACTTCATGATAATCCTTTTGAGGTTTTCTGATATGTGATATCAAAGCAGTCATCATATGAAGGTAATTGGTTTTCAGTTGAGAATTCTGCCCACTGTGACTTTGTGAAGCTACGTACAATGTTGATCTCAACACACATGCAAGACATGAAAGAGGTAACACAAGATATCCACTATGAAAACTTCCGTGCACAATGCATTTCTCAAATGCAGGTTGGTATTTTTAGACGTCTTTTTCACAACTTCATCCTTTTCACAGACAGTGACTACAAGGTTTATAATGAGGATCAGTGAAAGTTACATTCTTTGTACTATAGTATTTTCTCGATTTAACAAACTAATTCGAGCCACCCTTTTCCGTTAAACTGAAATTTCCATCAAATCAAATTTCCGTTATTTTTGCTCAATTTAGTGAACTAGTTCACTAAATCGAGCTGATTCCATTAAATTCCACACCAAATGCGTCACTAGGCATGTGGGGGTTGTTTACATCTGCTCAGTCTGTGTCCTGCTGCCACCACATGTGTTATTCACTGCTACCTCTTGGTCTACCTCTCGGTCAACTAAGTACTGTGCTAGACATAATGCTGAAAGTCTCCCAGAAGTCTCAGAAAGGAAGTGGTGTGGGGGAGAAAGTCAAAAGAGTGCAGCAATCAATAGGAAAAAAGTTTGGAAATAATAGAAACAAATTTAAAACAAACACCGAACCTCCTAGTTAAAGGTAAGCCATGAATAATGTTTCTAGTTCACTAAATCGAGTAAAAAATAACGGAAAAAATGCCTTCCACTAAATCAAGAGTTCCTTACTGGTATATTGGTTTCCGTTAAATCGCGAGTATACTGTATATTAAATCAAAACAATGTACAATACTGTACATATCTCAAATAAAATGCCAGAGTTTAATAATTGTTTCAATATTTACTACTGTACTTAATTTTATACAGACTAGTAGAGGATTCAGTAATGATAATAAAACTGGAAGGGTATGGGATTTGGGGAAGTATCCTAGAGAGGATCAGAGACTTTCTGCATGATTGCAAGCAGCGTGTATGATGATTAACAGTAGGAAACCACGGGGTACCACGGGGCAGTTTATTAGGTCCTTTGTTGTTTTTGTCATAAATGACATACCAGAAGCTATGCACTCCTCCATACAAATGTTTGTGGATGATGCCAAGTTATTCAGGGAAATTAAGAAACAAACAGACTGTGAAGAGATGCAGAAAGATCTCTGTGAACTTCAAGAGTGGTTAAAGAAATGGCTGCTAAGATTCAATGTCACGAAGTGTAAGAAGATGCACTTGTGATGTACCAACGTTAAGGAGGCGAAGAAAGTGCATTAATAGAGACCAAATGCAAAAAGAACCTGGGTGTGTATGTTGATAATGAACTAAGGTTCTCGGCCATTGTGAGAAGAAGGTGAACCAAGTAACTAAATTAGTAGGTCTTATGAGAAAGTCGTTCAGATATCTAGACGGTCCATCCCGAGGTAAAAGAAGCAGATTGCTGTACAGTATATGTTTTGTAACTGTACCCAATTCATGTGTGCATTGTGAAGTTTAAAAGACTTGTAAATACAGTAGAAATTTGGAACTTTGCTGAAGTTTAACAATAAAAAACATTAATATACGTTAAACACTTGAAAGCCCCCTCCTCTGTGCCCCCTATACCCAGTCTACGTGCAGTACAGTTGTACTGTATTATACGACCGTATCAGATTGATGTTCATTCCTAACACAGTATAGTAAATAAATGTTCAAATTTAACACTTAACAAAAGATGTAGACGTCTAATTGTTCTTGTAGCAAGGTTTCCTCCATCCCTACAAATATGGAAAAGGTTAATTTAGCGATACAGTATTGTACATAAAAAAATCAACGGCCATTATCAATCCATAAATAATACTGTGCGTCCAAAAAACAGTGATGGCAAAGTTTTTGGAGTGAAAATTGTGAACTCTTGGAACAGTGTGTGTTGTGAAAGCACCTAGTGTGAACTCTTTCAAAACCAGACTTGACCAACACTGGAGTAGGTTCTGATTTATTCAGGAACCAGTGCATCCCCAGTACTTGCCAACAGTGCATAACAGATGTGACCGACTACCCAAGTGGCTAACGAGCCGATCAATGGCGAAGAGGATAAAAGGAATGTAAAAAGTCAAGTAAAATGTACTGTACAGTACAGTACAGTACTGTACTTTATACATTTCATCATTTATCAGTTCCTTAGCCAGTTGGGCAGTCATTTCTCTGTTATGCACTGTGCATATAAAAGGTCTTGAATGTATGTACCTGAACACATGCCAGTATTGGTCAAGTGTGTACTTAAAGGAACTCGCATTTTCTGCCATCACAACATTCTCTGGCAGGTTTACTATATACTGTTACTGTACTCAAAAGAACCTGCCTCTGACTGTTTTCTGTACTGACAGCTTTGTCAGTTATCCTTGGTCAAGTTGCCTTACTGTTTACCATCGTTGTTTACCTGCACTGTCTCGGCAAACACGAAACTGTATACTCCCAAGGACCACATGCACTGTATACCTACATTGTCATATTCATGCTGAACTGTATAACTGCATAGTTTATAAACATGATTATCCAATTATAAACCTGTGTGACAACTTTACTGAATAGATATTACACTATATTAACTTGAGGCTGTAACCTCAAATGGGATGACCATCTGCTAACTCCAGATATGTACGTTGGACAGAGTAATGTCCTTTGAGAGGATTACAAATTTCTATTAAACTGCCTATAGCCCTTCTATAGTTTAAACAAAGCACCAGTTACCTGTCTCGATGCTATCCTTAGCCATGCAAAATGTAACCAAAGGCCTTTGGTCTTATTCTAGTTTATATCTTAGTTTTTTCACTTCTATGGTAGGTCTCTTTAAGTCTCCTTTTCATTAAATTCTTCAAATACTGCCAGGATTTATATCATTACCTTATTTTTATTTGTATGCGTTTAAACTGTATCCTTTTACTTCCCTATTTTATCTCTCTTACAAACTTTAATGGGTCTCCAGCAGGTGGCACTGAAGGAGAGGAACAAGCTCAAGAGAGAGAGTGCTGCAAACTTCGACCAAGTGGGAGATGCAGACAAACTACTTCAACAGAAAGATGAAGAGGTACCGTAGCTATCATCTTACTTCCTATAAGCATGATACTTAACCAAATTAATAAATGATATTCTTTGGAAAAACAAGAGTGATTCATTTTTCGAGAAAGTGCAAATGCATAATACTGTACAGCACTGTACCTGTATCAGTAGAAAGAAAATCTCTTTTGGTGTTATGCTGTTGCCAACTACTGTACCGATAAACAGGACAGAGCAAATGTACTGTACTGTAAAGAATCCTCACTAGATGCTAAATATATTTATCAACTTATATTGGGAGAAAAATGTGAATCAAGACCTTTACATTCCTCAAATCATTTACCTTAGAGTATTCATATGTGAGAGGATTCAGTTCCCATTCCCTCTCTCATTATCTCAAAAAACAAAAAAAAAACTCTACAGTATTGTACACAGTTTCAAGTCATTCCTCTGGTAATCTCCTTAACCTTATTAATTAAAGCAGTTACTGACAAAATCTATTATTGTGAAATCTATATCATCACTGTTATTCATTTGCACTACAGTACATTGTTATAAATAAACTTCACCAAATGATGTATAGTAATACCCGGTCCCCAGTTTCCTCCTGTACTAACACTGGATAAACAGCCCAAACGGCTAGTAAGCTGACAAGTGGCGAATATGATAAAAAAATAAAAACGAATGTTGTATATGTATACTGGTACAGTAGCCTTGGGTTATTTCATGAGATAGGGATCAAGAATGTTCGCAGAGTACAGAATCACAATATCAGCTGTTCCCCGACTTACGACGGGGTTAGGGACCGACATCCAGGTCGTAAGTCGGAAATGCTTAAATAATACATAGAAAATCTAAAATGGGGGTCTCTTTTTCTTCTCAGCACCACAAAACACTCACTTTTAAGCTTGTCAGCCATTTTAAAGTGAATTACAGATGAAAATTTTGTCTGTGTACTGACTTTGGGACTCGAAAATACGTAATTTGAGCAAATTTTGGTACGACTGAGGCAGGTCGTAAGTACGGGTGGACGTAAGTCGAGTAGGTCGTAAGTCGGGGAGGAGCTGTTGTATAGTACTGTACTGTACTGTACTCATAAAATTAAATGTACCAGTAATAAATACATGTGGGTGGCCTACATCCCATTCATTAGTTGTAGTATTATGTCATGCTTGGGAATAAAGTCCTATTCCATTATGTACAGCAAACCATCAGGGTACAGGTATAGGCAATTAATAGTTAACCCTCTTTTACAGGGAGTCCCCGGGTTATGAATGGGTTCCGTTCCTGAGGATGTTCTTAAGTCGGATTTGTGCGTAATTTGGAACACATTCTATATGTATACCATACTTACAGAACAATGTTTAAAATCCCACTATATCGTAGCCTAAGTCCTTATATACATCTAAAATCACTTAATTTAGGACAAAAAAGAAATAGAATGACAAAATACAGTAATTGAAAGTAATTAATAAGTCATCAGGTAAATAAAATACTGTTAATTTCAAGTTTAACCTCGTTCGTATAGCAGGGCGTTCATAAGTCGGATACCTCCTGTACTGTAGGTCATTCACAAAGCTCAGGTGTCCACAATTAATACACACTTTAAGTACAGGTATCCCTCGATTTACAATTGCCCTATTTACAATATTCCGCTATAACAATGGTGATGTATTAAGACCACCCCCCTATCTATGACGTAAACAATCGGCATAAACAATGGTTATCGTCTGGTCAATGCGGAATGTAGAACACATCTCTCGGTTCACTTGTCAGCTGTGGTCTACCAGCGCGCTGCCATCCAGTGCACTACAGTAACAAACTTTGTTCCATGGTGATTGCACATAGCCGTGATTGTGTAACTCGATGATTATCAGCTAGTATTGGTGTTGTTACTTATCATCGATGGGTTTTTTCTTTACCATACAATTACAGGACTTCACTAACATTTACATTATACAGTACTCTGTTTTGGTGACTGAACTGATTTTTGCAATTTTTTTGTGACTGTAAAGTGCTTTGCTTCTGTTGTTGTGAGCATGCTGCGAGCAGTGTCAGCCAGTCATTGTTTTTACGTTATCATCATTCTCCGTTTTTGTGACAAATGCTTTCGCTCTGATTTTTTTTACTGTGAAGTGAGCAGTATAACTTAAAATATATGGAAAGACCAATGTACACAGGAAAACAGTGTCTGTGGAGGTCAAGAGTCCCCTTAGCCATGAAGGGGACATGTAATGATGATCAGAGTTGTTCTTAATGATTGGCGAGTGTTGTTTAATTGTGTTGTAATTATACCCTTTACCGTAGTATTAGTGTCGGCTTTTTTCTTTTTTGGTGATATAGGTACTTTTGAGTGTCTGACTGGCTGGGAATGTATCCCATTGAACCCCTTGTTCTAATGATCTTGATTTATGATATTTCAACCTGCCATGGGTTTTCAGGTTTGTAACCTCATCGTAAATAGGGGGATACCTGTACTGTACTGGTATTACTAATTGAAATTAGTTCGGCACAGTATTATCCTTTTATTCTTCACTCGATCATGATTAATGTACAGCAGGACAGTAAAATTAATCTGAGGTTGGGTTTGCTAATGTATTCACCTGAACAAGAAAATTTATTGCAATTGTGATGATATCGTAAGACTTTTTAACAAATCTCTTCAGATCCGGCGTATGCAGGAGATGCTGAGTCAAATGCAAGAAAAACTAAAGGAGTCTGGCAAGGACCCTGCTGCAGCCCTTTCCCTGGAACCTGGTAAACGAGACTCCGTGGTCAACGTGTGACATCACCACTGTGCTGTATCACTCTATCACATCATTTGTTTCATGTGGTGTTTCAGTCAAGTGTTCATACATTATCAATGTGTGTTTGTAACAATACCACCTTCCCTAGTTTGTGACATCAAAACTTCACCTGTGTGTGGAAGTACTGTGAACTGTGTGTGTAAAGTATTCCTCATGTGTGCCATTCTATGTGTCACTGATGCCTGTTGTTTAAGACGATATGCATCATTACGTGTAACATCTCCCTGCTTGGCATAATACTGTATACACAAAACTAACACTGTAATGGCACATAAAGAGCTATAACAAGTTTTCATTGATAAAATGAAATACTGTATCTAGAATTTTGACTGACTGTCATAATGAAGACATCTATGCGTGTATGCCACTTCACTTTTGTTATAAAAAGAAGAAAAATAATTGATTGATCATGAATTTGCATTTATAACCAAGGCTGGACTGGAGGACCCATTTTACTTAGCTGTCTGGAGTTATTGGATGGCTGCCCCACTTAAGGTCACAGCCTCAAGTAAAAGAAACTACAGTATCAGTACAAAAAACTGTCAGAGCTAAATTTTATGGAGTAAAAGTTATGAACTCTTGGAATAACCTGCCAGAGGATGATGTGACAGCACCAAATGTGAGCTCCTGTAAGTCCAAACTTGACAAACACTGCCACATATTCAGGTATGTTAAGATCCCATGCATATGCTGCACCTGACAACAGCGCATAAACATGAATTGACCAACTACTTGGTCAGCTAGAAAGTTGGCAAGTGGCAAAGAGGATAGTGTTAAGTAAATTAAAAAATGATATTTAAATAGTTAGAACCCAGGCCAACCCACAACAATAGCACCTACATACCAATTAAATGATAATATAAACCTTTCATTTAGAACTAGGTTCTTGAAAAGGATGTTCAGAAACAGGTGATGTCTTTCAAAGAAAAAAGCTGCCAGAGCATTGCTAAATGTGTAGTGCACATATCCCCACTCCCCAGTTCATTGTCTGGCTATAACATGGAGCATATCAACAAATCACTTCACTAGTGAGGATAACTAATTCCCTCAGTTCTGTTTTGATTATGAAATGGGATTTCAAGATCAATCCATCATTCATTATCTAATGAACATTCTAGGGGACATGTGTTACTCAGAGTCAATGTGACATTTGGGAGCTGTTAAGAAAAAGGCTCTAGCTAATACATAACATGCACCTCTCTTGGGAAGATTGTTATGAACAGTTCCCCTTAAAACATCCATTAACTTTCTCAATGCCACACACACACACACACACACACACACACACACACACAATCATTGCATAATCTCCATGCAACATTATGTATACTGTACTGTATTAGTCAATCACCCCATCACTTGCACCATAGTACCGAGAGACATACTTCACAGAAAAAAGTCGTATTTACTGTATACCCCACATACAATTTCAAAAGATTGAGAATCCTTCTTGAAATAGATCACACTTAAAAGCTTTTATCAGTACGGTTCATCTTAAAGACTACTTATACTTTTACTTATTTACTTTTACATTAAATTTGAAAAGAATTAGGGTAGAGGTTCCATCATCTCATGATTTAAGGATTGTATCCATGGGTCTAAATTTTCATTTTCCATGCTCAACAGTTGTCTTGGCCCAAGCCTGATCTATCTGATATTGATCAAAAGATTTTGGTGCTCCTTCTGAAAATATAATTCTTTAAATTATTCTGTTTGGCTTTAAAGCAAATGTTATGCAGAATCCAAACAGACTAAGATGCTGTAAAGAATGAACAAGATTGAATGATTGTAACTTTAACAATCAAAAGATCTAGGATATATGAAAGAGGTGGTGATTAGACCCTTAAGGAACCTTATGAGTGAATAACTCCTCTTTGGCAGAAAGCCAGTAGTGTGACTATCTGTTCCCATCAGCAAAAGTGAACTGACTTAAAAGGAATGTGGTACATCATCCATTAAAAATAATTAAGTGTGGAAACACCTTATCACAAACCTGATCTTAAGCTTTAAAAAGACTTATCTAGTAAATACAATATAGGTACCTTGTATCTATGTAACTTAAAGAAGTTCTTAGTATATTACAGTACCTTGTACTACCCAAAGTGAACAAAATGTGAAAGGAAACCACCAAAAGGATAAATCTTCTCACTACTGCCAAAGCAGATCTTTGTTTGTAAAATGATTCTGATACATTAAGGCCCAAAACTTCTCAAAGGAAAGTCTAGTACTCATAAGCATTCTAGAACTTACATATAATACAAATTAACCAAAAGTGGAAACAAAAGATTCCATTCGTAAATAAAAGAATTCAGATACAGGAGTACCGTACTCCTACACAGGTAATACAAACTCTGCAGACCAAGTGCTGAGCAAACATGGATGATACTGAACACAAAGCATTCCAAGTTCTCAGTTATCATCCAACTCTGAACGAGTTCCCTCATAAAATTTTTAAACAATTCTCCATCACCATGTAAATGAAGCAGTTGAGTTGACAGAACTCCGGCATTTCTTAAGACTGTAATCACACTTTCACAGCTTGATCCCCCCTCAGTCCTGTTCATACTATATATACAGTCAGTTCTGTATGAATAAACTGTCCAAATGCCTGCACTCCCAGAACACTTGAACCAGGCAGTATCCCATTGGTAATGGTCACTTAAACATGCAACAAGTCATTGTCTGAATATCATTGCACTGAACACTGTTTTAAGGAGTGTACTGAGAAAGATCTTATTTTCCCAAAACCTATTTAAAACAGGAAAGTGAAATTAAACACAAGTTTCCCTGGCTCAGGTATATTACAGTATTACCCAAAGTGAACTTTATGACTTGTTGTCCTATGATGACAACTTTTCACGGTGATCAGCATTCCACCATTTGACCCTTTGCTCAAACTCCCCCTAATCTTTCAACAACAGTAATGAATGTCCAAACAACTGTGCTCAGATAACATGTACTGAACTGCATTGGAATATATTGTAACTGAATATCACCCGATGCCAGGCTACCTCCTGTTCACTTAAAGAGACCCAAATAGACCAGCTTGTTCTGAATCCATACTGACAGAGCCCCACCTCATTAACCCTATTGTGGTCTTTTGATGCAAGTTGTGTCACTAAGCACTCCTGTGCTGGCGCAAACCCTCCCACTCAACCATATCTCACACTGAGCACTCTTCCCGTAAGCAGATACACAGGAACAGTGGAGCGGCCCTATCAACCACCTAAGTTCCTCCCACTAGCCTCATGGGCTGGCAGATGCATCTCTAAGGGTGCAATTTGGGTCTGGATTGCTCTAACCAATGTTTATTAAAATGAAAAAACGGTTCCTGTTACCGACACAAGCTACATCGAAAGACTGCGAGGGGGTGAGACTTCCGACCATGGCCAAAAGTACCAGAGCGTTAATCCCACAACCTCACCTTATGTGGTACAACTTCATGAGTTAAACATAGTGAACTACTGTACAGTACAGTGTTATTAAATTGAGAATAATGGCAGATAACACTGTGTAGAATATAAAGGAACAACCAAAGAAGTACGGAGGACAAAAAAAAAAAAAAAAACATGAGTGCCCCTAAAGTGGATACCACTAACCCCAGTTACACAGTGCTTGTAGTACCAAAACAAACCAAACAGAACTTATTCATTGTGTATTCCACTAAGAAGCATCTCATTCATACAGCACTTTTCTTGAGGAGTTATCAATGTAGCTAACACTTTTCTGTATTCATATTGCAAGAAAATGCATTAACAACTAGCAATATAATTGACAGTACAGTTACTGAAGCGAAGGCTTCCTTACGGACCCCCCTCCCCCTGGTGTGAAAGTGTGTTAATAGGATTAAAGGGAGTAAAGCCTGTCCTCGGTGTTCATGTCCCATTTGGAGAAAATCTGTTTATGGGTGTACTTCAGATGAGCATAAAAATAAGTTTTTAGGACCAAGGTTATGTCATAAAGCAATCAAAACAATCTCACAAAAGGAAAAACAAAACAAGCTGCTTGAAGGGTTCTCCAACATTCTGTTATAGAAAAAAGAGCACACAATAACTGAGATAGTATCCTGTCTTCTGATTCAGATAGAAATCCCTATCTGCTTAACAAACTGCCTTATTATAATAAACAGAATTGCTATAGTGACTAAGTTATATTGTGATATTTGCATACATACAGTAATTAGCTGCACTTAAACAAACAAGTGAAATTCAAATTAAATCAGAAACACAACTTTCACAGCTAGAAGGCAGTGTCTTCCTTTTAACCTTTGGGAGCCAACATCAATGGGTGTGTCATCTTCCTTGCCTTGCAGTTTTTGTGCATATAGAAGTGGATTAAAGAATCCTTACCCCTAATTGAAAGGTTAAGGAAAACAGTTTTGACATGATAAACACTATAAATGTGTGGCCCAGCCATAAATAAATGACAAATGCAAAACCAGATAACAGAGCACTTCTCAGGACAAACATTCATATCCATTGAGCAAATAGCTACGTCAGAAGTGGTTTGTTGCTGTGGTCTAATGCTTGGATGATACAGGTGACGGGGAGGATATGCAGGCACATCTGGTAATGACTACCGGGTAACCATCTTTCTGTTCTGAAAGACAGCTCTTATTTCTAATAAAACCTTTTTAAATGACCTTGTTGTAGCTGGAAGGTCCCACGATGCAATTATCAGCAGTTAACCTGGGCTCTAACGTCATAAGAGTTTAGTTGGCTGAATAACGCAGGTCCCCACAATGGCTATTAGGTTACAAGATAAGATGTATTAACATGGTTTGATAACTGATATTTCCTGTTAATTAAGAAATATCAAGATAAAGCTATTAAGGCAAAGTTGAAGATCTCTGGATATCAATATGTAAAGTGATATGTTTTAATTAATATCCAAGTACTGTACAGTATTACAAATAAGAAGTATTGATATGTTATATGATTTAGTACAGAAATACACAATTTTGAAAATATCCTCTGAATATGTGTCTTCTGTTCTACGACAAAGATGAAAATTTTTATTCAGTACTTTGGGTAATTCTATTTACAGTGGCTGGTACATTTCAAGACCAAATCCTATTTTAATTCCATCGCTGACTGCTGTTTACCACTTGTATTGGCACAAAATTATTTTTGTGAATAACAATGGAAGGATGATCTTTTTTGTTTTCTAGTTTTTACCACATTCATATAAATTGAACGCTAGGTGAGCTAACAGGTACACCTGTACTGTCAGTAATGTGGCTTATTTTTCTTTGATGTTGAAACATGTGTGCCTAATTCCTCCAGATGGCATTGTGATGGCACAATACAAACAATACCAGAAAGTTAATGTGAAAGACTGGAACTTACCCAACAGTATGACTCACATACACAGTATTATTCCAGCACTTGAGCTCAAGA